TAAATGATTTTGGTGATTAGAGAAAGGAAGAAAGAAGGGAAGGAAGAAGGGAAGGAAGAGAAGGAAGAAAGAAGGGAAGGAAGAAGGGAAGGAAGAAGGGAAGGAAGAAGGGAAGGAAGAAGGGAAGGAAGAAGGGAAGGAAGAAGGGAAGGAAGAAGGGAAGGAAGAAGGGAAGGAAGAAGGGAAGGAAGAAGGGAAGGAAGAAGGGAAGGAAGAAGGGAAGGAAGAAGGGAAGGAAGAGAGAAAGAAAGGAAGGAAGAAGGGAAGAAAGAAGGGAAGGAAGAAAGAAGGCAAGAAAGAAGGGAAGAAAGAAGGGAAGGAAGAAAGAAAGAAGAGAAAGAAGGGAAGGAAGAAGGGAAGGAAGAGAGAAAGAGAAGGAAGAAAGAAGGGAAGGAAGAAAGAAGGCAAGAAAGAAGGGAAGGAAGAAGGGAAGGAAGAAAGAAAGAAGAGAAAGAAGAGAAGGAGGAAGGGAAGGAAGAAAGAAAGAAAGAAGGGAAGGAAGAAGGGAAGAAAGAAAGAAAGAAAGAGAGCAAAAAAGAAAGAGAGCAAATCCCCAAGTCAAAAATTATTGAAAATGGGAAAAACATGTTGAGATGAGGTGAGAAATCTTTCATTCTTTCTTCCTTTCTTTCTTTCCCTTCTTCTTCTTCTTCTTCCTTTCTTCTTTCTCTCCTTCTTTCTCTTCTTTCTCACTTCCTTTCTTCCCTTCTTTCTTTCAAAAATAATCTCTCACTAATTCTGAATATTTTTGTTATTTTTCTTCAAATAATTCTTTGATCACCTGAAAAAAAAAAAAAAAAATTAGCGATCAAAAATCGGAGAAATTTCTGTGCAAAAAAGGCTTATCGCTTAATAATTTTGTTTCTTTTTATAATTTCTTTTGTTAATCGAGCAAATGAATATATAATGGAGAAAGAAAAAGCCAAAAATTAGTGTTTTTTTGGGTAAAAAGTTTACAAATTTTCTCGATTCTCGATTTTAATTGTAGTCATCGTTTTTAGAGTCAAGAATGGAGGTTGAGACAAGGATTTGAGTCTAAGACAAGGATTAGAGACATGAACTAGAGCTTGAGACAAGGATTGGAGTCAAGAATGGAGTTTGAGACAAGAACTAGAGCTTGAGACAAACTTGAGACAAGAACTAGTGCTTGAGACAAGGATTAGAGTCATGAATGGAGCTTGAGTCAAGAATTTGAATCCAGAATAGAGCCTAAGCCAAGAATTAGAGCCTGAGACAAGGATTAGAGTCAAGAATGGAGTTTGAGACAAGAACTAGAGCTTGAGACAAGGATTAGAGTCAAGAATTAGAGCCTGAGACAAGGATTAGAGTCAAGAATAGAGCCTAAGCTAAGAACTAGAGCCTAAGCCAAGAATTTGAATCCAGAACAGAGCCTAAGCCAAGAATTAGAATCCAGAGTAGAGCCAAGCCCAGAATTTGAATCCAGAACAGAGCCAAGCCAAGAGTTTGAATCCAGAACAGAGCCAAGCCAAGAATTAGAATCCAGAACAGAGCCAAGCCAAGAATTTGAATCCAGAACAGAGCCTAAGCCAAGAATTAGAATCCAGAATAGAGCCAAGCCAAGAATTTGAAGCCAGAGTAGAGCCAAGCCAAGAATTTGAATCCAGAACAGAGCCTAAGCCAAAAGTTTGAATCCAGAACAGAGCCAAGCCAAGAATTTGAATCCAGAACTAGAGCCTAAACCAAGAGTTTGAATCCAGAACAGAGCCAAGCCAAGAATATCTGATTCTGATTAGTCTGATTCAAAAAGACTCAAAAATCTGATTAGAACTTTTAGTTGATGGTAAAGGCAAAGTTAGAAATGGCAAAAGATCGACAAAAGCTGGGAGCTGGAGCGTGGAGCGTGGAGCGTGGAGCGAATCTGGCGCTAAGCCAGGGTACTCTACCCTACCAGGCAACTTAATCAATTCACGTGGAGAACTTTATCAATTCCACCAAGCAGCCTCACTTTTCGTCACGAAAAAGGACTCATTTCCCCTCTCTCTTCCCTGTTTTCTCCTCTCTTTCTCCTCTCCTCTCTTTTTGTCCAAAAAGCGCTCAAATGTTTACTTCAAAGCGAGCAAAAAAAAGGCTAATTATCGAAAAATGAGATTAGTTTTTATGGAAATTATTATGTTTTTGTTTTTTTGAACCTTTTACCTATTTAATTTTAGAGAAACAAACGAAATCAGGGATTAATTGAGAGGGGAATTGAGAGGGGAATTGAGAGGGGAATTGAGAGGGGAATTGAGAGGGGAATTGAGAGGGGAATTGAGAGGGGAATTGAGAGGGGAATTGAGAGGGGAATTGAGAGGGGAATTGAGAGGGGAGATGTGAGAGGGGAGCTATGAGAGGGGAATTATGGAAGGGGAATTATGAGAGGGGAATTATGTAAAGGGAATTACGAGAGGGGAGGTGTGAGAGGGGAATTACGAGAGGAGAATTATGTAAAGGGAATTATGAGAGGGGAGATGTGAGAGGGGAATTATGAGAGGGGAATTGTGCAAGGGGAATTATGAGAGGGGAGCTATGAGAGGGGAATTATGGAAGGGGAATTATGAGAGGGGAATTATGTAAAGGGAATTATGAGAGGGGAATGATGAGAGGGGAGCTATGAGAGGGGAATTATGGAAGGGGAATTATGAGAGGGGAATTATGTAAAGGGAATTATGAGAGGGGAGATGTGAGAGGGGAATTATGAGAGGGGAGGTGTGAGAGGGGAATTACGAGAGGGGAATTATGTAAAGGGAATTATGAGAGGGGAGATGTGAGAGGGGAATTATGGAAGGGGAATTATGAGAGGAGAATTATGTAAAGGGAATTATGAGAGGGGAGGTGTGAGAGGGGAATTACGAGAGGGGAGGTGTGAGAGGGGAATTATGAGAGGGGAGGTGTGAGAGGGGAATTACGAGAGGGGAATTATGTAAAGGGAATTATGAGAGGGGAGATGTGAGAGGGGAATTATGGAAGGGGAATTATGAGAGGAGAATTATGTAAAGGGAATTATGAGAGGGGAGGTGTGAGAGGGGAATTACGAGAGGGGAGGTGTGAGAGGGGAATTATGAGAGGGGAGGTGTGAGAGGGGAATTACGAGAGGGGAATTATGTAAAGGGAATTATGAGAGGGGAGATGTGAGAGGGGAATTATGGAAGGGGAATGATGAGAGGAGAATTATGTAAAGGGAATTATGAGAGGCGAATTATGTAAAGGGAAATTCTCGCACTTTTCGAGATTGTTTTTCTCGGGATTTCTTTTTCTTGAAAAACAACGACTTGATGAGCAAATGTTGGTACAAAAGATTGGAAAAGCTTTTGGAATCTATTGGAATCTGGAATCTATTGGAAGAGGGGAGATTTCAGAACGAGAATATCGAATAATGAAGAAATATTTGAGGAATTGAAGGTTTTGAGGGAAATCTGGAGAAAATGGACTTTGAGAATGGACTTTAAGAAGCTTTAAGAGCTTTAATTGAATAGCTTTAAGAAGCTTTAATTGAATATCTTTATCATCTTTAAGCCCAGAATAACTTTAATGCTTAAAAACAAAACGAGATGCAACGGCTGGGATCGAACCCTCGAGCCTTCCCATCCCCCTCGATCTGTAAACCAGCTCGCTACCGACTGAGCTATAGCTGCATGTTGACCAAAATTGGTTTTAGCTGTTTTATAGAATCGATTTCCTCCAGCGGACAAAAGAAAATTTCCGTTTGGAATCGAACCCTCGAGCTTTTGACTCATCATCGATTTATAAACCAGCTCGCTACCGGCTGAGCTATAGCTGCAGGTTGTTCACGCCTGGTTTTAGCCTTTTGAAAGGATTGATCCCGTTTCAACAGCTCTCAAACAGCTAAAAACCGTTTCCTCCAAGGATCGATTCTTTAAAACAGCTAAAAACGACCGTGGCCAGCATGCAGCTATGGCTCAGTTGGTAGCGCGCTGGTTTACAAATCGATTGCCAACTGAAAGCTCGAGGGTTCGATCCCGGTCACAGTAATTCGTTTTGTTTTTAAGTATTAAAGCTTTTCTCATCTTAAAGATGATAAAAATATTCAATTAAAGATCTTAAAAATATTCAATTAAACGAAAAGCTCGAGGGTTCGATCCCAGCCAGTGCATTCCGTTTTGTTTTTCTTCAATATTCATTCAAAATATTCAATGAAACATTTTGCAACGGATTTCCGCATTCTTTCCTTTTCACTCTTCCTTTCCACTCTTCCTTTCCACCCTTCCCACTCTTCCTTTCCACTCTTCCTTCCCACTCTTCCTTTCCACCCTTCCCACTCTTCCTTTCCACCCTTTCCACTCTTCCTTTCCACCCTTCCCACTCTTCCTTTCCACCCTTCCCACTCTTCCTTTCCCACCTTTCCACACTTCCAAATCAAAGATCGATGAAAGAGGAGAAAAACACGAATTACCTAGGTAACTTTCGAATGAAAAAGTGCTGAAACGAATAAACAGATTTTGGAAATTAGGTTTTTTTACGAAAAAAGGAACAAAAGAGCGCTGAAATGTTCAAATTTTTCAAGAAAACGACAAAAATTGAGGGATTTTCTTTTAAAGTTTTCAATTTTGTCAAAAAAATGTCAAAAACGACGAAAATTGAGAGATTTTCTTCAGGAATTGAGGAAAACAGGAACTCGGGATTTTGATTTCGTCAAATGTTTTGATGTTGAATTTTGATGTAATATTGTGTAGAATGGATCTACCGTAAATACTTTAATAGTATCCCACCCCACCCCCATAATGACGGTGCGAAGCGTTGCGTAGTCGAGCTTTGAACGAGTTTTTCTCGACACTGGTTTATGCTACAAAGCGCGCTTAGGTATCAAAAAATAGCTGAGATTCAGGGCTATTTTTTGATACCAAAGACGCATTTTTTGAAAGTACGGGCGCTTTGAAAAAACCAAAAAACTTTTGCGACTACGCGACTGTACGAGGGGGGTGGGGTACTATTACAGTATTTACGGTAGCTACGTGGCTAGGCAGTAGAGTTTTCTTCCCTACCTTCCATCCAGCCGAGCTGTTCGAGTCGCCTTTGTCGCGGAAATAGGGAACATTTTGAACCATCCATTCGTAGACTGGAAAAGAAATTGCTTTTATTTGCTTTTATTTACTTTTTATTTGCTTTTTATTTGTTTAAATATTCAAGTTTTGCATAGAGAAACGTTTAAAATTGAAAGATTTTAACGATTTTAAGCTTAGAATTCATTTATTGAGTTGAAACTACGAAAATTCAAAAACTTTGACGCCACTGGGACTCGAACCAGCGATCTTTCGCTTGCTAATCAATCGTACTAACCATTAGACCACAAAGGACTTGATCTGCCTCTCTCTAGAAGGGGTTAAGTTAAAGATAAAGCTGAGAATTCATTTATTGAGTTGAAACTACGAAAATTCACCGCTGAGACTCGAACCAGCGATCTTTCGCTTACTAGCCAATCGTACTAACCATTAGACCACAATGGACTTGATTTCCTGACTCTAGAAGTTAAAGACAAAGCTGAGAATTCATTCATTGAGTTAAAACTAAGAAAAATCAAAAATTTGGCGCTGGCGGGATTCGAACCAGCGATCATTCGCTTACTAGCCAATCGTACTAACCATTAGACCACAATGGACTTGATCTGCCACTCTCTTAAGTGACTTAAGTATTAAAAAACCAGAGAAATCACGAAAATCTTGGAAATGATGTCAAAGCCCTTTTTGAAGCAGTTTGAAACCCGCGGCCAACTTGCACTTTTGGTCAAGTGGCTAGTAAGTAAATCTCTCACTCAGAGGACCCTGGTTCGAGTCCGACTACGGTTTTTCTTTATCAAATTCTAAATAAAGTAAAATTCTAATATAAAGTATAGGTTTAGGTAAGTAAAAATAAAGTTAAATAGATCTATTTACGTGTTTTGGCCTTTAACTGGCCTTTAACGGCCTTTAACTGGCCTTTAACCGGCCTTTAACGGCCTTTAACGGCTTTTAACGGCTTTTAACCGGCCTCTAACGGCCTTTAACTGGCCTTTAACGGCCTTTAACGGCTTTTAACGGCTTTTAACCGGCCTTTAACGGCCTTTAACTGGCCTTTAACGGCCTTTAACCGGCCTTTAACGGCCTTTAACCGGCCTTTAACGGCTTTTAACGGCTTTTAACGGCTTTTAACCGGCCTTTAACGGCCTTTAACGGCCTTTAACCGGCTTTTAACGGCCTTTAACCGGCCTTTAACGGCTTTTAACCAACCCTGTGCGAGTGTGAGGCGTTTCTCCGGGCTTTGCATGATGGCTTGAGTGATGAGATCCGCGTATGACATGCTGCCCCAAGCGTTTCGTCTGAAACTAATCAGAAAAGATTATTTAGACATTGGAGATGGTTTTAGTTGGGGAAATTCGATTGTAAAACCCACCTCGTAGCACTCTTTTTCCCCTGCGGTTGACCAGGATCCGAAGTATCCGAAGCGCCGGATGATGGAGCAATTCCGCCGCCATAACCCGTCGGTGAAGCCATTCTAAAGTTGAATTTAGAAAGATAAAGACCAAAACTAGTATTCTATTCGTTTTTTCTATTGTTTTTGCTATGTTTTTGGGGTTTTTTTTGGATGTTTTTGAGGTTTTTGATGTTTTTCTTTGAGAAAAAACCGAATTCTTAACCCAAACGACTCTTTTGAAATTCTCCCTCTTAAACCCACGCTTTCTAGTCGATTTCTAGTCGATTCTATCAAGTTAATGCATTAGAAAGCTAGTGTTTACATAGCTAAACCATTTTTCTAACTGTTTTTTCAGCTATAGACAGTTTTTGAATGTTTAAAGGCGATTTTGAATGTTTAAAAGCGGTTTTTGGAGGTTTAAAAGCGGTTTTTGAAGGTTTGAAAGCGACTTTGAAGGTTTAAAAGCGGTTTTTCAAGGTTTAAAAGCGGTTTTTGAAGGTTTGAAAGCGATTTTTCATGTTTAAAAGCGGTTTTTGAAGGTTTAAAAGCGATTTTGAAGGTTTAAAAGCGATTTTTGAATGTTTAAAGGCGATTTTGAATGTTTAAAAGCGGTTTTTGAAGGTTTAAAAGCTATTTTTGAATGTTTAAAAGCGATTTTTGAATGTTTAAAGGCGATTTTGAATGTTTAAAAGCGATTTTGAAGGTTTTAAATCGATTTTGAAGGTTTTAAATCGATTTTGAATCTTTAGAAGCGATTTTTCATGTTTAAAAGCTATTTTTGAATGTTTCAAAGCGATTTTTGAAGGTTTTAAATCGATTTTGAAGGTTTAAAAGCGATTTTTCATCTTTGAAAGCTATTTTTGAATGTTTCAAAGCGATTTTTCATGTTTAAAAGCGATTTTTAAATCATTTTCTAATCAAAATCAAAAAAAAATGCTTTAATCGAGTGAATTCGCAAAAAAATCGATCAAAATCGATCAAAATCGATCAAAATCGATTAAAAATCGATAAAAATGATAGAAATAGATAGATTTACTGAAAAGATTTATAGAATTTGTTCATTCCTTAGGCTTAGTTTTCCCAGAAAACAAATTCAACACAATACCAATCATCCAATTAGAGAATTTGAGGCGAGACTCAAGCGAGAGTTTTTTTTGAGCAAAAACGACAACCTCAATGGCTTAATAATAAGGAAATTCGTCAAAAAAAAGAGATTTTTAAAAGAATTTCAATGATTTTCAATGATTTTCAATGATTTCCGATAGGATTTAGCCCATTTTTCCTAAGCTAACTCTCAATTAACGCGCTCGAACTTTGTGCTACTGCCTCCCCACGGAAACGCCACCTTTCTAGCGCACAAATGAAACACCTGTGCGCTGGAAAGCCTGCGTTTACACAGAGGACAAGCCGGCAACCCTGGCCCACAGAAAGCTTGCATTTCCAAGAGCACAAAGTACACTCGATTCGTTGCTTACCCGGGTGAGAAGCCGGTCGGATCCGGGCTTCCAACGATCGTTGTTGAGTTTGGTCCAGCGCCCAGATTCTCCGAACTGTCGTACAAGCTGAAAATTTGAATAAAGTTGTTGGATTGGATGGTTTGGATGGCTTAGCTGGCTGGCTGGCCTAGCTGGATGGCTTAGCTGGCTGGCTGGCTTGGCTGGCTGGCTTAGCTGGCTTAGCTGGCTGGCTTAGCTGGCTTAGCTGGCTTGGCTGGCTGGCTTAGTTGGCTTGGCTGGCTGGCTTAGCTGGCTTAGCTGGCTTAGCTGGCTTGGCTGGCTGGCTTGGCTGGCTTAGCTGGCTTAGCTGGCTGGCTTAGCTGGCCTAGCTGGCTTAGCTGGCTGGCTTAGCTGGCTTAGCCTCTTAGTCTAGTTTATGTTTTGTACCAATACAACCATGGTTTCTACGGTTTTGACTCGATTTTAAGTCAGACTTCTTCTTTTCTGACTTCTTTTCTCTGTACTTTGTCTTTGAGACGCAACTATTGCATTCAAAAGAGCTCAAAGTACAAGATGGGTAGGCTACAGTAGGCTAGAGTAGGCTAGAGTAGGCTAGAGTAGGCTACAGTAGGCTGCAATAGGCTACAATAGGCTAGAGTAGACTACAGTACTCTGCTAAAGTATGCTACAGTACTCGAACCTTCCCTCCTCCTGTATCGCTTCTTGTATAGTCGGACTTGTCTCCTCATTCCCCTGTCCAGGCCTTCTCAATGGCCAAGTATTGCATCGATCTCTAGCCATTGGCGGGAATTCATCGCCACTTGCTGAATGCTCAGACTCTTCGAATCCTTGAGTAGTCAAGTATTGCTCATTGTTGAAGAGATATGAGGGTCCAGCTGTTGAATGGGAAAGTCCAAGAGCACCGGGTGAGTTTACAGTGGCGCCACTGATTGGCATAGGTAAAACCCCGGAGATGCCAGAGAGATTCGAGATTCCGGAGCTTCCGGAGATTCCGGAGATTCCGGAGATTCCAGAGGTTCCAGAGATTCCAGAGATCATTGGACCATCTCGATTAGAGAGTAAGTGATGGGGATCCATCGGGAATTGTTGAAAGGGAACCTGATCGTTGCAATGTGTTGATGAAGAGACCTGGAAATGGAAGAGTTTGTGAAGGAGAAGGAAATGAAGAGAAGAATGGAGAGAAGAATGGAGAGAAGGATGGAGAGAAGAATGGAGAGAAGGATGGAGAGAAGGATGGAGAGAAGAATGAAGACAAGGATAAGACAAGGATGAGACAAGGATGAGACAAGAATGGAGGCAAGGATGAGACAAGAATGGAGGCAAGGATGAGACAAGGATGGAGGCAAGGATGAGACAAGAATGGAGGCAAGGATGAGACAAGGATGGAGGCAAGGATGAGACAAGAATGGAGGCAAGGATGAGACAAGGATGGAGGCAAGGATGAGACAAGAATGGAGGCAAGGATGAGACAAGGATGGAGGCAAGGATGAGACAAGAATGGAGGCAAGGATGAGACAAGGATGAAGACAAGGATGAGACAAGGATGGAGACAAGGATGAGACAAGAATGGAGGCAAGGATGAGACAAGGATGAAGACAAGGATGAGACAAGGATGGAGACAAGGATGGAGAGAAGAATGAAGAGAAGAATGAAGACAAGAATGAAGACAAGAATGAAGACAAGATTGTTCAAAGAATTGTTGAGGCTAAATCTAGTTATGGGCATAGGTAAGGATCGAAATAGTAAAGGAGAAGAAGAAGTAATTAAAAGTTGAATGACCATTGGTCATGAATGAACAAGGTAAAGGCCTAGCTTTGGTCAAGGCTAGCTTTCTTCAAGGCTAGCTTAGACCTAGCTTTCCTCTAGGCTAGCTTAGGCCTAGCTTTCTTCAAGGCTAGCTTAGGCCTAGCTTTCTTCAAGGCTAGCTTAGGCCTAGCTTTCTTAAACGCTAGCTTTCGTTTCCCCCGTCAAAAGAACGGAAAATAACTAGAGAATAGAGAGGAATCGTTGCGGGAAATCTAGAAAAAGAGAAAAGAAAAGAAAAACGAAGCGAATGTGAAAAGGGAAAATGCGATCGACCTTTGCTTCTTTTCCTTTTCACTGAACGATATCGATTCACTTGAAAAAAACCCCAATAAACTCAAAGAAATGACAAAAGAAAATGAGAAAGAATGAGAAAGAATCAGAAAATGATTTAGGAATTGAGAAAATCGAAAATCTTTTTACTATTTTACAAAGTTTTACAAAGTTTTACAAGGTTTTCCAATCAAAATCAGCGATTTTTCAGATTTTTGACTGATTTTGACTGATTTTGACTGATTTTTGACTGTTTTTGACTGATTTTGGCTGATTTTTGACTGATTTTGACTGTTTTTGACTGATTTTGACTGATTTTGGCTGATTTTTGACTGATTTTGACTGATTTTGACTCCTTTTTCACTCATTTTTCCTTCGCAAATCCTTTTCTTTTCTTTAAAATGACCTTGTGACCAAGGGAAAACGCAAAAAAAAACGTTTTTAACGAAAAAAACGAAAAAACGAAAGAAACTTTTGAGAAAAGATCCCGAAAAGAGATTTGCTAAGAGATTGGCGCATTTGGAAACGTTTGGAAATGCTTTGGAAAGTATTTTGGAAAGTTTTTGAAGGTAAGAGTTGACAAAAGTTGGATTCAAGTTGCTAGTGACAAAAGGGGCGTGGCTAGAAAGACCTCCATCCTTTGCCATTGGCAATCTAACTTTGAGCTCAAATTTCTCGGGGTCCAGCTATCCAATTGAAACATTTTTAATATCATTCGATTCCCCATGTCTTTCTCTATCGATTGATAGAAAAACTATTGAAATTGGATAGACGAAAGCCGAGATATTTGAGCTCAAAGTTGGACTGGAGAAAAGGGGCGGGGCTAGGACGAGCTTTTATACCCGCCCGGTGCCTTTGTCATTGGAAATCTAACTTTGAGCTTAAATTTCTTGATGTTAAGCTGTCTAAGTCAACAATTTTAGTATTATATTGATGGGATTGCCAATGGGGAGCGCGTATAAAAGGTCTTCCTAACTCCGCCCCTCAATCCAACTTTGAGCTCGAAAATCTCGGCTTTGGATTATCCAATTTCAATAGTTTTTCTACCATTCGATAGAGAAAGACTTAGGGAATCGAATGATACTAAAAAGGCTTAAATTGGACAACTGAACACCAAGAAATTTGAGTTCAAAGTTAGATTGCCAATGGCAAGGGAGGGAGATCTTTCTAGCCCCGCCCCTTTTGTCATTAGTGCATAACCGATAACCAAAAATCAATATCAATCAGCAAAAATGTCCAATAATCAAAGTTTTATCCATTTTTTAGAAAACACAAGTTGAAAGAAAGGGTTTTGAACAAAAATCGATTCGAAATTTCATTTTTTGGCATTTTATTTTTGAATTTTGTCACAAAGAGTCGATGAATTCAAAAAAAGCAAAAAAAAAGAAGCAAAAAAAGTGAGCAATCGAGCCAGCTACATTCTAGTTGTGTGAAAGAAATGAAATTGAAATGTGTGAATCAGAAAAATGGGGGAAATGGGAGGGAAAATGAGAAAATTTGGGAAAATTCGGAAAACTGGCGATCTAGAAATGACCTGGCCTGGCCAGAAATGGCTTGGCCATCGTCTAGCATTGAACTTTCCGACTGTCGATGGGAATCCAGATCGAAATTGATGGGCTAACGCTTCGGCAGGCCTCCAATACACAATTTCAAAACGTTTACAGTTAAAGAAGGCGCACGAGATCAAAAATTGACTTTAGAGGGGAAAGGGGAGCTGTTCTTTGCATTCTCTGGCGTCTCACAGCTTCTCCCAACCTCTCCCAACCTCTGCTAGCATCCGCCAACCTCTCCCAGCCTCTCCCAGCTTCTCCCAGCCTCTCCCAGCCTCTCCCAACCTCTCCCAGCCTCTCCTAATCTCTGCTAGCATCTCCCAACCTCTCTCAACGTCTCCCAACCTCTCCCAACCTCTGCTAGCATCTCCCAACCTCTCTCAACGTCTCCCAACTTCTCCTAGCATCTCCCAACCTCTCCTAGCATCTCCCAACCTCTCCCAGCCTCTCCCAGCCTCTCCCAGCCTCTCCCAACCTCTCTCAACCTCTCCCAGCCTCTCCCAACCTCTCCCAGCCTCTCCCAACCTCTCCTAGCATCTCCCAACCTCTCCCAACCTCTCCCAGCCTCTCCCAACCTCTCTCAACCTCTCCCAGCCTCTCCCAACCTCTCCCAGCCTCTCCCAACCTCTCCTAGCATCTCCCAACCTCTCCCAACCTCTCCCAGCCTCTCCCAACCTCTCTCAACCTCTCCCAGCCTCTCCCAACCTCTCCCAGCCTCTCCCAACCTCTCCTAGCATCTCCCAACCTCTCCCAACCTCTCCCAGCCTCTCCCAACCTCTCTCAACCTCTCCCAGCCTCTCCCAGCCTCTCCCAGCCTCTCCCCTTCTCGACCTCCGACCTGATAGCTCTCTTTCACCCCCATGCCACTAACAAAAAACGATTTCCATTTCCCGCTTTCTTTCTCTTTCTTTCTCTTTCAAATTGATCGATTCCTTTCCTTCAGTGATCTTTGAAATTCCCCTTGAAACGTGTGGATTCCCAAAAATCGTTTCCTTTCTTTTCTTTCTTTTTTTTCCGGGTTTCTCTGATCTCTTTGTACAAAGAAGTTCACAAAAAAAAAACGAAAAGCTCTGTTATAAAGGAAAGAACTGGGTACAACGAGTTGTACAAGGATCAGCTAGACTAGACTTCAGCTAGCCTCAAATTTCTCGGGGTTCAGCTATCCAATTCAAACACTTTTGGTATCATTCGATTCCCGAATTCTTTCTCTATCGATTGGTAGAAAAACTATTGAAATTGGATAATCCAAAGCCGAGATATTCGAGCTCAAAGTTAGACTGGAGAAAAGGGGCGGAGTTAGGACGAGCTTTTATACGTGCCCCGCCGGGGTATCAAAAAAAGTATCAAAAGCTGCTCAGAGGGCTAGAGGGCCTCCTCAGACTGCTCAGAGGGCTAGAGGGCAACAATGTTCCGAAGACAAAACAAAGATTAGTTCAATTCGATCAATATCTACTCAAAAACTCGATTTCATCGAACTTTTGTGGGTTCGATTGCTCAAAAATGATCAAATTCTTCTCAAAAACGATTAAATCATCTTAAAAATGATCAAATCATCTTAAAAATGACCAAATCATCTTAAAAATGACCAAATTCATCTCAAAAACGATCAAATTCTTCTCAGAAACTCCCAAATCATCTCAAAAACGAGCAAATTCAACTAAAAAGTCTCAAAATTCGCCTATGTATATATTACTTTATCCGACAAGGAAAAGTGACAATGCAAACAGATTGAACAGCGTAGACGAAGAAAGATAATTGATATACAAACACAACTACAATTAGACACGTTTATATATGACATTAAAAACGAATTTAAAAATTGACAGAGCTACAAGATCGAGCTTATATATTGAGGATTTAAAATAGTTCAGAGACGAAAAAATATCACAAAGGTAACTTATTCCAAATACGAGGAACACGACAAGCAAAAGAATGATACAGTTGGCGGTTATGAAAGCTTTGAAAGGGGGTAATCTGAAAGTTGTGACTACGAGTTCTTCTGGCGTGATTCGAAATCTTAAAGAGTCCTTTAAGTTCCGGATGAGAGTTAGGAGAGAAGATGATTTTATAGCATAAGACCAAATCAAAATAAATGCCGCGATGGGATAAGGGTTTAAGGTCGAAAAGAGCAAGTCGATCAGAATAGCAAGGAATTTCTTTCGATGGGAAACAACGGGCATACGCCCTCCTACTCAAACGACGCTGAACGTTCTCAACCAAAGAAATTCACTTTTCGAGGCAGGGAGACCAAACAAAAGTGGCGTACTCGAGCAAGGGGCGGCAGTAGGTAATGAACGCTTTACGATAAGTAGCAATTGAGGGAAAATAAACAGCGCGAAGTATAAGGTTTGAGATGCGAAAAGCTTTTTTTGCCCATCTGTTCAATATGAGTGTTGAATTTCTCTTAAGAGAGGGAACAAGTAAAACACCAAGATCTTTGAGTGTTTTTTG